GGCGGGGGCGCGGCGGCGACGGCGGCCGCTGCGCTGCAGCAGCAGCAGTGGCAGCAGCAGGTGCAGCAGGGCGGGCGGGTGTCGTCGTGCAGCGGCGGAGCGGAGCCCTTGGGGCCAGCGGACTTTGCAGCCAAGCTCAAGGTGTGTGGCGTCATCATGCGTGGGTGGTGATCCCCGTGTTGCCGGGCGCTGGCACGCACCGACGTTAGACGTTGGTTGAGGTAACCTGTCTTCAAAGCTACCAGCAACGGGTTCATGCCGGCGTCGTCGTTCGTGGCCCCACCACAACAAAGGCACACCTGCGTGGTGCCCAGGCCTGAGGCTGCCTGGAACCGCCCTTGCCACAACGCCTGCACTCACACACACATCCGGCAGGTGTCCTTTCCGAGCACGGGCAGCAGCACCACGCCGGCGCACCCCTGCGTAGACTTCAAGTGGAAAGACTATGCCCCGCGAGTGTTCCGGCGGCTGCGGGGCGCCGCGGGCATCGACGAGGCGGATTACATGCTTGCGCTCGGCGGCTCGGCGGCGCTGCGGCAGCTCAACAGCCCCGGCAAGAGCGGCAGCGTGTTCTTCCTGTCGGGTGCGCCAACGGATCCTCTGGTTGTTTGCCTGTGGACGGGGGACGGTTGTAATGCGGCCGCCCCGGCTGTCTGCATGCGCAGGGGTGTCAGTAGTGTCTCCGGGGCCCGCGCCGGGTGGCCGCCCGACCGGCCACGACGCTGTCCAGTTGGCAGCCAGCGCGGTGGCGGCGCAGGCCGGCGTTCATAGAGCAGGGCGCGCCTTTGTGCACCCCTGGGCATTTCGCTGTCAAACCAGCGTCATCCCCATAGCCTGGCAGCGGGTGCACCTCGGACGTACCTTGCTCCCTTTAGCCCAAGGCACCGCTTCGCCCCCACATTCTGCCGCACACCAACCCTCGCGCGTGACCAAACAGACGACGAGCGGTTTCTGGTCAAGACGATGCGCAAGAGCGAGGCGCGGGTGCTGCTGGGCATGCTGCCGGGCTACTATGCGCACGTGACGGCGCACCCCCACACGCTGATCACGCGCTTCTTTGGCGTGCACCGCATCACGCCCGCGCACGGCCGCGCGGTGAGCCGACGACCCGGGCAGCGGCGCAGGCGCAGGCATTGTACTGGGTGATGTGGCTTCCGCGGGCCAACCGCCTGGGTTGAGGATTGTCTCGTTGCGGCGGTCTGTATGTGACGGTTTGCTCAAGTTCTCATTGCCTTGTGCATCCCTTGCCCGTTGCATTGGGCTCCGTTGCGCATGCCGCGCCCTGCACCTCTCGTTTCGAGCATTCCTCCCAGCCCTGAGCGAAACCTCCTTGTGGCACGCCCCCCGCGATCCTGGTCAAACTTACTCGCAACGCCGCCACCATTCTGGTCAAACCCCCTCGCATCGGCCCGTCTTTCCGCCCACTTACCTTTTTCTCCCCCTTTCCCATGACCACACCAGGTGCGCTTTGTGGTGATGGCCAACATATTCGTGACAGACCTGCAGATCCACCGCCGCTTCGACATCAAAGGGTCGACCGAGGGCCGCTCGGTCGGGGAGGAGGCGCGCCGCAAGGCGGAGGGCGACCCATCAGTCATCTTCAAGGTGCGGGGCTTGCGGCCGGGGCCCTGCAGCAATTGGTGGAAGCATGCAGTGCACGCTGAGGGGTTTGAAAGTCGTTTCGCGGCCAAGGCGGGTTGTTGCTGCGGCGTGCGTGCTCAACGGGGCGAAGCTGTGGAGCATGCATGCATGCGAGCAAACAAGTGGCATGTGCTCACATGCATGTGGACGCATGCCCTGAACCACAGCAAACAGCACACATGCATGCTATCCCCAAGCACGCACATGCGCATTCAGCATACATGCACGCTTTCTTACAACTCAAACACACACGCACGCATGCTCTCTTTGCAACTCAATCACACATCCATGCGTCATCCACCGCGTGCCCATGCATGCGTCCCCGCCCCACATATACACCACCACCACACCCCTGCACCCCACCCATCACCCGCAGGACCTAGATGTCGACTTTCGCCTGCAGCTGGAGCCCGCTGCCCATGACCTGCTCATGCAGCAGCTCAAGGCCGACGCAGACCTCCTCAGGTGAGAGATGGCGGCGGGGCAGTCCCCTACAGAACAAGCAGCCTGCTTCTGCGGGGCGCATGGCGTTGCTGCGCCTGCGCCTCTCACCACGCTGGCCTGACGGCTGGCAAGCAGCGGCCTCGCTAGCCTAGGGGCCTGGCACGTGGCTGCGCAGTGCTATGTACGCATCGCCATGTACAGCGCGCTCGCTGCGCGGGCTTGTTCAACATGTTTTCATCGTTATGATGATATGATTTGAGAAACAAATTTGTTTCCATATCCTCAAACCCTCAGGGAGTGCGGGGTGATGGACTACTCGCTGCTGCTAGGAATCCACTACCCCAGCCGCGGCGCCCTGCAGCGCGCCAGCCTCGACGCCGCCCCCTCCACCGACAACGCCGCCGCCTTCACTGACGCGCTGCCGTCTTACCGGCCGACCTCCGAGTCAGACACCGACGCCGGCGGTGCCGCGGAGGCGCAGGGCGGCCCCGAAGCCGC